GGGTGGGCGATGGGACAGGAAGTTTGCCACCCCCGAATCACATGGTTGGTTCTCCTGGCAACCAGCCCCCGTCCTTAGGAGCTCACTGGGAGTCACCTCATGCGCTTAAACTCACATGTGGTTGAAAGGGCTTGTTATAAATAGCAAGACACTGTTTCACCTCTGCTCCGGAACTATTTTAGGAGCTGGAGCTATTTGCGGATAAAAGACCAAATATTGAAAGGTACTCACATCGCTCACATTAGGCAATTACAAGCATGTTGGGAGCTCTGCGCCAGAAACCCCAGACAAGGCCACTGTGTATTTCTTACTCTACGATGTAGAATGCCTGTTCTACACATTTCTATCGCTCTCGGACTTGTAGTAAAACATGACCTACATCCCACAGTCCACACTACCTCTGAGATAAGTCACTCTGGATGAAGGAATGAAAAACCCATGTGTCTCCACCCAAAGATGAGCGGGAGGCAGCAGACACCCACAACTCTGAAACCTTACCGCAGAGCCTTCCAATCAGTGCCCTGCTTTGGGAACTCATCCTGGCGCCTCCTTAGAGACCTTCTTCCCGTCCCTGACCCCCCTCAGAGGGTGAGGCTTAGGGACGCACATGTGGACTCGTGCCTCCTGTTCTATTCTCGGAGCTTCCTGTGCCTGAGCTGGTTCATCCGCTGAACCCAAGCAACTCGAGCTTCCGCACCCCGTGATCTGACTGTGGGGACACACGGCAGCAACGCTCCAGCCCCGGGGTGGCACAGCAAAGCTCGCGCAGATTGTAAAAAAATTCAGGCGCACGACCGCTCAAGGGCAGTCCCCCAGCAAGATCAGAATATTTAAACACCCCCTCCCCGCACTGCACCTGCCCCATCAGTCATCAGGAATCTGAACGTGGCGAGTTCCTTAGGAACCATCACAGAACAATGCTGAGAATAAGCCAAGAATGGAGTCAAGTGAGATACGTTTGTGTGTGTGTGTGTGTGTGTGTGCGCGCGCGCTCCCAGCCACAGAGTCAAGCAAACTTCAAGAAAAACAAGTCTTGTTTTTGCTTACATTTTAAAACTCTACTTTAAAAAAAAAAGTGTTTATAATGATCCATGATCAATGATCAGTACCACATAAGCTGCAGTGGACGGACCCTCCCGCAGAAAGCAGCCTTTCCAATCTTTCCAAGGCGCCCTAAATCCACTATATTTCCTGTGTTCCAAAGAGTCTAAAGACGCTAATTTTTTTTTCACGTGGAAGACAGTTTAAATATCAATGAATGCAATCAACCCCCATATACTATTTCAAGACAATGATCATAACTACTTTGCTCATTGGTGGAAAGGGTATCTCAAGGCATTACGAATCAAGTGGAAAGTGTACAGAAAACAGGCTGGCCAGTTAAGCCGGTATTTAAATGCAGCACTAAAAATGCATTTCACACCCAACTTCATCAATCACCAACCCATCTTACTTTGCATCTTGGCTACCAAAAGAAAATGGGATTTGTTTCCCTGAAGAAATATGTCACAGCTCTGCCTGAATTATTAAGCTTTACTATTACAGAAAGAAACAGAGTCGGAAAAGAAGAAAGAAAGAAAGAAAGAAAGAAAGAAAGAAAGAAAGAAAGAAAGAGAGAGAGAGAGAGAGAGAGAGAGAGAAAGAAAGAAAGAAAGAAAGAAAGAAAGAAAGGAAAGAAAAGAAAGAAAATTAGAGCCAGGTTGCCCTCTACAGACAGACATCAGCACTGCTCATTCATACACCACTAGACGCCCAAATATGAGTAAATAGCAACATTAAATAAAGACAACTGGTACGACTAAGCCTTCATTATAATAAAAATCAAGACAGCCTAAAAGAGTCTCTTCTCATTAACATGAGAACAGTATATAGGTAACAAACACTGGGCCAAAAATTTGCACAATTTAACATACACTATGAGATGATCCTGATATTCATTCTAACTCTAAAATTTAACACTTTGAAAGAAAATTAAATCAACCACTTAATTCCAAATGTAAAACATGGGCAAGTAGAAAAAACTATGTTTCATCTCTGACATCAAATTCTTGCATTGTTTATTCGATTATTTGTATATATTGCAAACGATCACCACAGTTAGTCTAGTTAACATGTTACCATACAGACTCTTCACACGTACCCTCTTAGCAAATTTCAAATATACAATATGGAACTAAATTCTTGCATTTTTTGCTCATTATCTTGACTCACCACACACCTTCCCTTTCATTTTGCTTACAGTCTCATTGCTTTTACTTTTCTAGACACCAAGAGCCCTCCTGAGACAGGACTAGCCAAAAGCACACACTTAGTTCTAATGACTAGAATAAAGGACATTAAATTAAAAAACAATTGCAAGAAAAAATTTGCAAGAATAAATGAATAGAAAGCTGAATTAAGGAGTGCAAAGAAGAGAGCTCTGATACTATAACCTGGAAAATTCCTATAGCCAAAGACATCTGGATGGAGATCTCGTAAGGGGAAACAGCTCAGTTGGACTTAAGCTAATATGCTTAAATTTGTCAAGTGAAAATTTAGTCTACGAAACTGTACAAAATCTTTTTTTTTTTTCATTTTCCCTGGGGGGAAAAATGTTTTTGGAAGCCAAGATTCATTTTCCAAGTTATATGTTATTTCTATCAAGAGGAAAAGATACAAAATGCTTCATCTCAACTCTTATATACATTTCTGGATCATGTCAGTTTCTTACTGGGAGGGAGAAAAAAATCCACTCCCTCAAACTGCCATTTGAAAGACACCAGCAGGGGACGCCTGGGTGGCTCAGTCAGTTAAGCATCTGCCTGGGGCTCAGGTCATGATCTCAGGGTCCCAGAATCAGGTCTCGCATCGGGCTCCCTGCTCCGTGGGGAGCCTGCTACTCCCTCTCCCTCTGCTCCTCACCCCCATTTGTGCACACGCTCGCTCTCTCTGTCTGACAAATAAATCTTAAAAAAAAAAAAAAAAAAAGACGCCAAAGAGGTCCAGCAGTTAGAAGCCTATATTCTGCTCATTCCAAAAGACACCGGAAAACAGACACTTAAAATAGGCGATTATCTAATACAACTGCCAGGCTCTCCACAGACAAGGAAGAACAGCGATGGCCTTCCGCCTTTTCTGAGCACTTTAAAAACATGTTTCTTGTTATTTCCACCCCACGGGTACCATTGTTGAAAAGTGAGAATATCTATGAAAGCAAAAATACTGATCATTTGACTTTTCAGTAAAGGCTCTTTTCCAGTGCGAGAGGAAACTGCAGACGTAACCTCATTCGGCATAATTTCTGCAAATGAGAATGAAAGGTCCCCTTTCTTCTGAGAAGCAACTACTGAAACTCAAGACTTTAAAATATACATATTGGAAGGAGGAATGGGGATTTTTCACAGGCTGAGATGAGCCTCACAGAAAATAACTCACATTTTACAAAAGCCTTTAAAGAAAAATCTTTGTGTAAAGATTCAAAGTATCACAGAGACCTGTCTATTTCGTGCCTTTAAGCATTCGTTTCCCGATATTTATTAAGTGTCTCGTATTTATCAGACCCGTGCCAGCAGTTGCGAATAAAAACACAACAGCTAGTAAGACCCATCCCAGGGCCTTGGGTGTGTCACAACCTGGTACAGTGATTAAAATAAAGCCTCTGTGGGTTTAAATCCTCAAGGTATGGCATATGCCTCCAGGCGAGCTTTGTTCCCTTGGCACCTGCCATAAAATATGCATTCAATAAACATTCGTTGCCCACCGTTGACCCTGGCCTCCTCTGTTTCATAGTCATCTGCGAGGGATTATATGACCTAACGATAAGCAAACATACAAGCTAAATCTTAGTATGAACCCACGTTTTGCTGAGACCTGACAGGGCCCCCCCAAAAGTGGCTTACCCGAGGTCCATCGCAGAGCTGTACCAGGACCCCCCATTCCAGCTGGTCTCCCTCCCTGGAACGATGTGAAGCCCCCTGCATTCTACCTCCTCTTTGTAACTGGTTCATCACGCAGGCTGTTCCTCTAGGTCTCGTGCAGCTTTCCCACGACCCCTTTGTCACCTGCCACATCCTCTGAACTCCCACAAGTTCACATGTCCCCTTCGCTGTGAGGCCCACGGTACCGGTCATTCTAACGTGACTCTTCACATCAACTTCGCAACAAACTGAAGCTCCCAGTGGAAGACAGAGAGCTGGCCATGAACCCGAAACGACAGGCCACCCATCCACCTCCCTCCTGCCCAGGATGTCCCCCGACAGATGTCTGAGGGGATCCCGGGGCGAAGGAGAATCAGTCCCTCCATGGGGCTGTGGCCCAGCCAGCCCTCCACCCCTCCACCCCGGCGGGCTCACTGCACAGACACCACACTTGGAATGAAACCAGAAAGAGCCAGTCTTCCCAAAAGTTCCCACGAGAGTCTTCCTACGGAAGTTTCACAATTCTGACCGCACAAATCTCGTAGTGATGAAAATGTTTAAAAACTTATTTTACAGCATCTCTTACCTGGACAGAACTAATTTGGGGACATGTTATCATCCTACTGGTAAAGTTTTCTGGATGTGTTGTATTTTCTTGGATATTGGTAAAATTAGGAAAGTATCTTTTTTGGAGAAAGGGATATGTGACTGAAAGTAACCTGTGATCAATGTGGACAAGGGTTGTAGATACACAAGTAGGAGAGACCAATGTCAACAGCAGTTAGTAAACACGTTAATCAAGCTCTTTCAGTAGAAGAAAAGGTTAACAAGATTTACCTTTTTTATATGAGACCAGCACAAGAATTTATTTTACCTCAAAACATGTGTTCTTGTACACAAGCTCTAATTATAAACAGAAATTTTGCGGGAAAAACAGAAGAATCTTTCCTTCTCAGAGTCTCCTTTGAAAACACTCCTTAAGGACAATAAGGAGTATCTTCTGTTGGTCCAGAGAAACAAACAGATTTATTTAAGAATTAAAATCGTATCACAGCCTTAAGACGATAATCCATAAAAATATAATAGTAGCAAGGACAAACTTACCACCGTTTGGACTTATTTGTGGTGACTTCTTTAACTTTACATTCTGTTTCCCTTTCTTGGTTTTTTCCAAATTCACCTCCTCTTTTTTCCCTTTCCTCTTTGGGGGCTGAGGGGACGTGTGGTCGCTGGATCCAACCGTTGACTTGGATTGACGATCATTTCCCTGAGTGGCAGAAGACCAGACACTTAACCATGGGCTAATGAAATCCCAAAGTGACTCCTAGTTGATGTAAGTCATTAACTTGTGGTCAGTGGGGCAGAGGTGGGAGATGGATGTGTTCTGCGGATTCCCCAATCTCCGTTTTAATATGTAGATTAACTTTTCCTGGAGCCAGAAGGGTCTAGCTGAGGCATGAGAATAAAAATAGCTAAAAAGTACTGAATACTTAACCAACACCAGACATTCTATAAAATCATTTCAATCCTCACAACCGTGAGACAGGCACTTCGCCCACTGTGGAGAGGAAGAAATGAGGCTTAGAGGTGGGGTCTTGCCCAAGGCCACGGGGCCAGCAAGGCCACTGCCTTAACCATTTTCTCCCTCCTGTGACTTCCAGAAAAATCTACTGGATGAGGAAGGGTGATGACAGCCCTCAGCCAGAAGCTGAATCTAGACACACTTTCTGAACTAGTGGCCACTGTGAAAATGCAGCGGTCATCCTACAAGGAGACACAAGCTGTCCTTGCAGATGTCCTCAAACACGGACTCATCAGGTGCTGACTGCCATGCTCCCTGTGAATCACAAACCCGGAGTCACACAGACTCGATAGCTCAAGGCCACGCTCCCGCAAGGCGACCACCCGTGGGCATATGTTCAGTGGTTGCCTGTGGCCTCCGCGTGCCTCTGCAAAGGAGGCTCTTCAGCACGATGGTGAAGTTGCGTTTCCCTGGCCCAGCGACAGCTCCCAGGGGGCCACGTAACAGCCAGGACAGCAGTGGCCACTGTGAGTGCCCAAAGAACAGGTGTGCTCGGACTCTGTCACAGCTTTGCCATTGCTACAGCAAGAACCTCCCTCCCAACCAGACAACCTGGTGCTCGCACGCTCAGGTGCTAAGCCCACTTGAGTGCCTCGCGTGTATAAGGTGTGAGGCTGCAGGACATAGAAAGAGGGCAAGTTTTGGAGACCAAACTTCATGGCTCAGAGCCACTCCGCTGCCATTAACCACCTATGGGACCTCCGACTAACTAAATCCTGCGTTCTTTGACCATTTCCTTCCCAGCTGAGTGGGGCTAACAAACCCGCCTTTAGGTCTCTCTTGAGGAGGAAATGGTAACATTTATAAAATAACCAGTCAGCGCCGGGCAGACAGGGCATGCTCCAAGAGCAGCAGAGCGCTTTCTCCAAGAGAAGAGTGAATATCTCTTTCCTTAAAAATCATATGCAGCTCACACCATATTGGGTGAGATCTTTATGCAACATCTGTACTATGCTAGGATCTGAAAACAAATGTAGTAATATCAAATAAACAAATCTGCCTAGAAACCTATTAGAACTGCTCATTTTAAACATTTATATATTCAGTCATCCAGAAGCATTTAAATGGTTTTAGCCATCACCCAATTAAGAATAGAAAAATTCACAGCCTTACAAATGAAGTTATCTATGCTATTTTGTGGGAGCCTACAAGAAAATGAATTATGCATAGATTTATTAACAGTATGAAAACTTGTCCAAATCTATAACATTCCTTTGCATAATTTAATTTCCCATTCCAACTGCAATTTAAACATACACTTCCATTTAATTATTGCATGAACTGCAGCCAGAGTCGTCGTTTATGTTCTTTCCTTTCTCGCAAGGTCGTGGACTGCCTGGCAGAAGAAACAGATCCCGTGACTCTAGTGGGGGCGTCCACACCTGTCCTCCAGGTCTCCTGTTCCAGTCTCTTTCCAAACATCATGTCTATTTGTCCCACAATTCTGAAACTTGGGAAGCCCTGGCTGAGCACAGCCCCCCTTCCAGCAGGCCTACCAGAAGGTTCAGAGACGCTGTGGAACTTTCGAGAACTAAAATGGAGCTCAGTGAGGGAGAGCCTCTGGCTCTGGGCAGAAAGGCCCTACACGGCTCTCTGGGAAAGGGCATTTTTGCAAACCGCGTATGACAAGGACGGAGCGGAATTGTGCCCGGGATTCACACAGCCTGAAAAGTCAGCTCTCTCACGGGCTATGCAGGAAGTGCTGATTTGCTCCGTTTCTGATAAGGACACTCAAAAGGGCTTATTCTGGAGCATTGAGAAAGCCGGGTGGATGCCAGTAACACTACAGGCTTTGGTAACGGACCCCCATGTGCGGAGTTACTGAATCCTGACTGATCGCAGGGCACTCTGTGAGGCCAGCATTAAGCTAAAAGAAGGGGAGGAATTTGTTTTGTAACTAGAAGACTGGAAACAATTTAAATGCCTGTGTTTTTTAACAAAGACAAAAATGTTGATTCATCTGAAGTGTCAACAATATGAAATAAATATGTAATAATGATACAAAAAGATACAAGTTACATAAGTTATAGTCATATTTATTTACATAGTTAATTATGTTATATATATTCATATTTATTCACGTAGTTACTTATATAAATTATAGCTGGTCTACAAATAAATTGTGGAGGGTAGGGGAACAAAGGAATGGAGAGAGGGGGATTTTCCTTCCTTTTTTGAGACTTCCAGGACTTATAACCTGGATACACAAATGGAGAGTTATAGCTACTTTGGGGGTGTAGGAAATACAGGAGTTTTGCCTTTCTCGTACAGCTTTACCGGGTGATAAAACAGTATTAATGAGTACTTCTCACGTGCTAAATACCGTTTAACACAAATACGGTATTACTGTCACCATTTTACAGGTACAGGGGGATTCACTTTCTCAAGGTTACACTGGTCTGGTTTTCCTATGACACGAAAGCTTCCCGATGCCAAGACACTGCAAATACTCACTACATGGCGCGATTCCCTGAGAAGGCCACCGAGAGTGACAAACCGTGGCTTTGCACCAAAGCAGAGTCGATCAAGAAGCAGCCTGATTGTGTGGCGTGTCCTGGGAGAAAACCAGACCCGGTGCGGGACCTGGACCACTGCCCTGCTTCCCGCCCCACACGCAGCAGTGCACGGGGCGGCACTAGCAATCCTCCGCTCAAATCAACAAAAAACTGAAAGGACCCCTTCGACCCCTCCTACTTGATTAAAACTGGGGATTTTTTAAGAGCTCCCTAGGCTCTTTCCAACACGAGCCTGTCAACTCAGGTGTCTTTCGTGACCACAGGAAAGACATCCAGCCCCAAGGACACATGCCGAAGGCCCAGAGGCTGGAAAGCATCAAGTTTAAGAGGACGTTGTGAGGGTTTTGCCTCACAGAGGAGCCCCCGTCTCGGAGATGCACCCAGAAGATGCACCCAGAAGGGAGACTCCTGACCAGGAACGTGGCCCCAAACTCAGGCTGGCATTTCTCTCCCTGACATCTCTGGTGATGGCTCGTGAGCAAAAAGCCTTTTTATCCACACTGGACTCAGTTTCCCAAGAGGCAAAATGGAACTTCGGGAGCATCTGGAATTTATCTCGCTTTACAGTGACTCTGAGCTATGTGGAGAATAGTGTTGTTTGTTTGTTTGTTTTTACCAGAACTTCAGCGATGACAATATTCGAGTCTGTCAACTACCGATCGCAAGATTCAACGGCCACATGGTAAGAAGAGCCAAGAGCTCGGGCTTGACTTCCAACGGTCCCTGAGTTTACACATCTTCCACGAGGGGGCGCCCTGATCCCTTGCCGTGTGCCCGAGGAAGCCTCCCGATGTGGGGGTGGTTTTCACACTGCTTAGACTTTAACAGGATCCACTTCTGCCTTCCTTTTGTTTTCAAGGCTGGAACTCCAAGCTAAAATTACCCTCCGTTTGCTCCTGTCAGTGATTCCCCCAGCACGAGGAGTCTGGGCAGGGAACGGCTTTCTGGGGCCATCCTGTTCCACACAGGGCCCTTCCTGGGCTGCTCTGCCAGGGTCTGCCTGAGCCGGGAAGCCCCCCCACCACCCACACTCCCTACCACGGGGTGGGTGCTGCTGGCCCACTGGCAGCGCCCCCTGCGTGCGCTCTAGTAGCTTTCCCTTCTTTCCCCACTAAGTTCCCTCAGGCTCCCACCCCCACTCCCCTTCCTTAGGCAACACAGCGATTCCTAGAAAGCTTTGCCAGAAACGAATTCCTAAAAATCCAGTTCTGCATCCCCCCTGACTTGAATCAGCATTTCAGGGGTGCCTTTCCCACTGACTCTGGGGTGGCCCCCACCGTCCAGAGCTAGGTCTCCCCCGGCCCCTTCGTGCACACCCCCACTCGGTGCCAAGCAGTGAACAATCCTAAAAACATGTACGTTCTCCAGGGACCCAATTAATTAAAGGACAGGGGTAAAATAATCCTTCTGTTAAAAAAAAAAAAAAAAAGGCTGTGACTTTGGAATTGCCCACGGCGATGGTCCCTCCGTGGAGCTCACCGTCCGGCTTTCACCCGCGCGCCACGCCAGGTTCATGAGGGCCTGCGTGTGCCAGGAGCGTCTGCCCCTCTGCTCAGATACAGACTCCTGGAAGCGGCCTGCCCCCAGCACCCAGAGGACACCGCCCTCCCACTGCCTCTTCCCACACCCGGATGTGTTCCGGCTCATCCCCGATCAATACCAAACGTACTGCATGCTTGTCTTTCTCCTGCTCTAGAAGGTACGATCCATCCCCTTACTGTTTTCTCTGCATTCGCGGCCACAAGCACTCCAAAGTGCCCAGGATGTAACATGTGCTCAGCAAATGCCTGCTGGGTCAATGCGCCCATCAGAGACCACGGTGACAAGATCCTCTAGGACGAATTGTCACAGATGTCCATCTCGCCTGTTACCCCGTCTGGGTCACCTGTGTCCCAGGTCTGGGCCCAGCCGCCTCCCCGCCTCCCACCTCCTGCTTCGGTTCTCCCCCGACCCACCTCCCTGCAGACACCAGCCCAGACATGTACATCCGACAATATCCTCCTCTTCTTCTCTCCTAACCCTTAGACAGTGTCCCATCGAAGAATAAAATCCAAACTCCTAGCATGGGGTCTACAGACCCGGCCCGACGCGCCTCTCCCATCTCAGACCACTTGGCCTTATTCTTTCCCTCCTCCCATGCCAAGATGCCACCAAGGGCCTTTGTGACCGTTGCCACTGCCACAGAGGCTCTTTCTGGTCCTCCCCACCCTACAGGACTGGCTCCTTTACATCATTAAGGTCTCAGAGAATTTTCTACCAATTCGGGCCTTGCTTCATTTTCCTTCTAGTGCTTAGCACCATGTGAAATGATGTCTCCGTTTGTTTAGAGGTGGAGAGCCTGTCTATGGCCATCCTTCCTCCATCACAACCCACTCCCACCACACACACATGCACACTAGCGCTAAAAGGAAGGTTCCGTGAGGTCTGAAACTTGATCTGTTTGCCACTGCGAGCCAGTCCTTTAAAGTGGCTCCGATTAAAACAATAATAATAAAATAAAAATTTAAAAATTTTTAAAATTTAAAGAATTTTTTTAAAAATAAAAATAATAAAAAATAATAAAAATTAAAAAATAAAGTGGCTCCAAGCACCTTAGTAATTGCTCAGAAGTATGTGTCAGATGGCCATCTGAACAAGCAGACAGACAGACAGATGAAAAGACAGAAAACTCTTGCGGAGTGTGTGGGAAGAGGCAAACCCTACTGGTATTTTATTTAAGTCAGAGCGTGGAAATATAATTTTGAGTCTTTGCTTTCTATGAGATGGACACATGTCATGTGGTTGAGTCTTTCCTCCAAGGCCGTTTCCCCAGAGAAGGCCTGTCCCGACCGACCTACCTAAATAGGTTCTCCTTTCATTGTGTCCTACTGCTCTGCACTTTTCTTTCATTCCTACCACACCTTGTAATTATATACCAATTTCTGGAATTGTTAGTTGAAACTTGTTCTCCCCCAAGTATACCTTGAGCTCAGAGTGCCCTGTCTTTTTCTGCTCATCTCCATCTCCCGGGGGCTCTGTTCTGTGCCAGAGATGCAGGAAACTCCATTTACCATTAAATGAAGCAGCATTCATGGCACAGATTCTAAATAACTTCCAAACAGAGAGAACAAGGAAACTACACGGACGTGCTTCTTGCCCATGAATTTTAAAGCAGGAAACACTGCACATTTTTAATTAAAAAAAAAATAGACATTCCAAACCTCAGAATAATAAGCACATAATTCCAAAGTCTGCTAACTGTGAATGCAAAGAGTTGAGTTATGGTCTCGGTTCTGACGCCAACTTTCTCAACTGACCTTGGGTCAGTGATGAAGTCCCCGGGGTCTCTGTCTGACCACCAGTCTTGAAGCGGCATTAAGGGGATTGATAAACCCACACACGCCTGGTAGACAAGAGGATTCTGCCCCAAAATCCTGAAGAAGAGCGAGAGGACAAAATTTCCAAACCCTACATTCACAGGTTCTACTTAGCTTCGGTGGTGGCTAAAATCGATCTTTGAGCCACTGGAACATTCTCTCTCCTCCCTTCTCCTCCTCTGCAGACCCATGCTGTCAGGCTGCCTTGGGGCTAGGTCCTCTGTGGCCCATATGCACCCTCTCCAGGCTCCCCCCGGAACAGCAGGAAGAGGGCTGCCCCTGCAGTGAGCTGAGCCGGGTGCCAGGAACAGCAGAGGCAGGTCTGCTCTCCAGCTATGACCACTACGCAGATGGACTTGCGATTGTCACCCCAGGTCCTCATCAGGCCTCCGTCTCCACCAGTTACAGCTGCTTGCTGCACACTCACAACTAGGTTTCATGATGACACTCCCCACTCAGTATGTTTGAAATTGGGCAGGTCATCATTTCCTCCAACGGCCCTCTTCTTGGCCATCCAGGATTGCGCTATTTTCCAGGCGATCCAAGCTCGAGAACTCACAGCTATCTCTGGCTCCAAGTTCTCCTTAACCCCTCTGTGTCTCATCACCAAGAAAGTCCTCCATCTCTTCAAGGGCAACAGGTGCCTCCCTAGCCTGGCTCTTTCCACCTGATGCGGCCTGCTCGCAATGGCCGCGTGACGGACATCTCTCATCCACAAACTCTCACCACGTGAGTCCTTCCCCACAAAAAAGATCCGACCTTCCTAGAATGGATTTGGGTTCACATTCTTCACGGAGGCCTTCGTGAGCTGCCCTCTACTCCAGGATAAGGACTAGACTCTTGGTTCTGACATTCAAGGCCATCTCAAATGTCCACCACCTACCACTCCAGACATACCAGCCCCCACATGATGGAGGCCCTGCTCCTGAGCAGCTCCCTGTCCCTGGGGGTCATGAGCATGAGCTCCCTCCCAATGGGCCATCTGGACTCAGTGGGAGCCTTTGGAGGTGCTCCTTCTCCTGTCTGTGCAGAGGTCCCCTTCTTGTATTTTTTTTTAAGATTTTATTTATTTGACAGAGAGAGATCACAAGTAGAGAAAGGGGTGGGGGGGAGGAAGCAGGCTCACCGCCTAGCAGAGAGCTGGATGCGGCACTCGATCCCAGGACCCTGAGATCATGACCCGAGCTGAAGGTAGAGGCTTAACCCACTGAGCCACCCAGGCAGCCCTCCCCTTCTTGTTTTTAAGTACAGATCACAGCCTGCGTGATTGCCTCTTGGAGAGCACATCTTGGCTCCTTTCTCACACCATCCTTTCCATCTGAAACCCCTTCCCCTCATCAGCCTTCACCTGTTGCAAACATCCCTCAAAGCCATGGCTCATGTTCAACTTCCTTCCTGCACTTTGGCAAACACACGTTTCACTCCCTCTGCCTCGCGTTTACTGATCTCACAGGATACTCGCTGTTGAGACCTTTTCAGGCTCTGCTCTCCACTTCAGCTAGATTGTACGGGTCCTGGGGGCAAAAGCTTGGTCACCAACTGTGTGAGAGCCTCAGCTCATGAATAGGTCATAAATATCTGTCACCTGTTATTCTGAGTTCAGCACTATTTCACACAAAATTATTTCTTTTTTTTTTTCCAAAGAATTGTGCATGATATATAAAAAGTTTGGGGCAGGGCACTAAATCATCATGAGGAGACATATCATCACCCAGCAGTCGCCGATGTCACAAATACCAACAGAAGAATTGTGCAGAGTTAAATCAGGGGAGCAGTGTGCAGGCGGGGGGTGGCGGTGTCAAAGCAATTCTGATCACGGCTGGTCCAGCAGCTCAGTCGAAAAAGCAGAGAGAGAAGCCACAGCCAGAAAAGCCTGTCACAGCAGACCTGCAGCCTGGCGTCACACCCCTCCCTGTGAGGGGCCACGGACTGAGAATACAAACAGGTTTCGAAGTCACCTACTATGCGCTCGACACGGTTCCCCCGGGAGAGGTAAGGAATGGGCATTCGCTGAGTTAACAAACATGTGGACCAATCATGGATGGAAAAAATTCCGAAAGGGAATGAGGCAGAGTGATTCTCAGTCTCTTACAGGAAGATAACTTGACGATTGCCTTTTTTTTTTTTTAACAAAAACTTCCTCTTTTCAGTCTTTGTCAGAGAGAGAAAACCAGACTGAGCAGACCACGAATGCGATCTAATGCAGCCTTTCCTCTACTTTTATGCATCATTGCCCAGATTTCAACCGTGAAGTAAGTTACCTCAGGTCTATACACAAGGAAAAAGATACCTACTTTGGAACCTCTATTTTTAAAATGTTAGTTCACTTTGAAGACCTTAACTGTAACATTAACGTTCTAGCGTTGTCTCACAATAATTGCTTTTATACCACAACGCAGCTATGTTTTATGTCTTCAAGTTTAAATGAAACCCAGAGGACAGCCTCCCTGTATCACATAGAAATAGAAAGTATTTAATGAGTAAAGCATCTGATACTTACACTCCCTTTAGACTTTCTGGATCCTACAATCGGAGGTAGTGAAGAGGCTTTCTGACTGTGGAAACAAACAGCAATTTAGAAATCGGAATGTTATTGACAAATAATACAAGAATGCGAGATAACTGTCATCCCAACTTGTCATCCCAATCTGCAAGTTATCTGTTTAAGGGACATGGGTGTTTCACAAAAAGTACCACATACTTCCTGATTTTACAAAGACCACAGTACAATTATTAAAGTCCATTCCAAAAGATCTTCAGCGTTTAACATTAAACTATTGTAATCAATGCTCCCTATAAAATTTTATTATCACCTTAAGTTTTTCTGTAGCATTTTTATTCAAATCCCCAAACTTTCTGGATGCATTTCAAAAAGTCATTTCCTAAGTGGAGGGATGGTTTTGCAAGATTGAGTCAAAAACAATAAACATCCACTGTTTTCATAATGTCCTCAGTGTCTATGTCAGAAGCTCAGAAAGGCAAAACACTGGTGTCTATATTCAAGGGAGCTTCTAGACCTGTCATTCTCAATAAAAAATAAAAGTTCTTTTTGGCTACAGGAATGTTGTTCCACACAGGGAAGGGAAAGACCTATCTTGGAACCCAATGACCCCCTCTAAAAAGAACTCCACACATAGAGGAAGATGTGTCTAACTGATTTGTCTGCGAGAGGCCACCATGAGCTACAGACTTCTCCCCACCCTCGAGAACACTCTGTAGCCCATGTCAGGGGCATCCAATGTCGCTCAGCAGAGATGGTGACAGATCTGACATCATGGACGGCTAAGAATGGTCATCAATAAGTCTGCTGGCAAGTAATTCTACAGTGCTGGAAAACCGTGTGCTCTTGCCCACTCCAAACACTGCCCAAAAAGTCCATTTCATCCCTTACTTATCTGGAAGCCCTGGGCTGGCCTCGCCACCAAGCTTCTCAAACATCAAATTAATGGAGAAAAATCAGTGACCTTGTGTTGTCTCTGTGCAAGTCACACACACCCCCGCAAAAGACAGTCACGAAAAGTCAGGTTCTGAGAGCTAAGGGGCCACAGAATGTCTGGGAGAAGCAGCACAGGTGGTAAAAAACCACACCATGAGCAAGCCAGGGGGTGCCCCCACTTGCCCGGGAGCCGGGCCTCTGCACGCCTGCCTCTACCAGCCCTCTGCTCGGCTGAAGTAAGGCATCTTCTGCAAATACATGACACTCCCTAGAGAAAAAGGGGTCACAGGGCACTGTGTGTAATTAAGGGAGCAATCTTTAAAATTTTGCATGTAATAATTATAGTCTCTCTTGCTGCCCTCTTACTTGCACAAGGAGAATTATATCATTTTTATCCCATTATTATTAAAAAAAATGTAAAATATTATGTTTTTTTGACACTTGTAGATGTTTGTATAGGCACCAACTGAAAATTATTTGGTCTAGCTAACCAGCAGAGACATCATTAAAACTTCAAATGATATACGCTACATAGCCTTGTATCTTCTTCACCAAAATAAATCTTTACTAAATAAATATTTACTATGAATTCATAAGTGAATAGTTTAAAAATGCTATATAGCCTTTCATAGTTCCCTCCAAATTATATTTTTTGTGCAAAAAGAAAAATCTCCAATCTCCAATCATGGCAAAAATAAATAAATATATAAATATATATTTATTTTTACATATATATATATATATATATATATATATACCTCACACAAGCTCTCCATTCTAACCAATGAGGAAGATTATACAATATATACGGTTGGTCAGCATAAGACTCAGTGTTATTCCAAGTGATAAGTAAAGTAGGAGATGTCAATGAGGATGAACACTTACCCATAGGACCTTCTCATGGTGGACTTGTCAAAAAGTAATTCACTGTAAGGCAATTTCTTAAACTTATCTCTGCCGACGGCCACGTAAAACTGCCCATTCTCCAACTCAGCCCCGCTCTCAACAAGTTTTCCTTCTAACGTGTAAAGTCTGCGGAAACACCAACGCCCACAGTTAAAATTCTAACAAGCATGAAAGAGCTGCTTAAAATTACGAAGTTCAAAGAAGCATCCCTCTCTTAAGTTGGCTCTATTTGTTACTGTTTGTTACTATTCTATTTATTTGTTACTATTCTAATTATTGATTTTGAAATGCCTCCAAGTCATTAGATTCATCCAAACACCAGGGTTACCATGTGGAGACAGCTACATGGTCTACAGAGAGAGCGCTCGCTCTCTCTCTCTCTCTCTCTCTCTCTCTCGGCAAAAGTTCTTCATCCCACTAAACTACCAACCCAACAGCAGAATCCTCTCCTGTTGTCATAGTAAGATTTCAGATGGAAAGCACTGAACACGATGCTTTATTTTATCTTGTAAGATTTTCTTTATTTATTCATGAGAGACAGAGGGTGCGGGGGGAGGCAGAGGGAGAAGCAGGCTCCCCGCCGAGCAGGGAGCCCAATGCTGGACTTGGTCCCAGGACCCCGGGATCATGACCTGAGCCAAAGGCAGATGCTGAACCGCTGAGCCCCCCAGGCAGCCAAACGTGGTGCTTTAAATGGAGCTCAGCTCCCGCTAAGGTTGGGTCTTCTACTTCTATTTTGTGAGCACGTTTACAGTTCACTTTCCTAATGTATTTGTCTGGTTGACAAACCGTGCATTCTGCTCAAAGGCCCTCAGGCAAAACATTGCACCAAACACACACAGAATGGGGGCAGAAAACAAGAGGCAAAGGAGCCCATGGCGAGGGTTAATGGTGCAGAACTGCATAGCATTCGTGCCTCCTCCCTTTTTTTTTTTTTTTTGCCTCCCCCCATCTTCCCAGAATCAAGGGACTTCACAAAGGACCTCCCTTTACTGTAAAACTGCTGCTGTGGACCACAGTGAATACGTTACTTATTAAAAGAACAGTGATAACTTCACGACACGATTTAAACTTCACTACACAGAAAAATTTTTTTTACAGAACAAGAAATCGAAACTATTAGAAAACACCATGAAAAAGGCAATGCCTATTTCTGAAGGTGATAAACAAGAGTTTATAACTAGAAGGAGATGAAGAAAACAATTAAAAAAAACTTCTTAACACTATCTAATAAAGGTTGGTGACACGTGCAAAGAAAAAGGCATTGATCTGTCTGCTTCTTCACAGATGATGGAAGAAGGACAAAGAAAACAGTCACAAAAACCCTGAAATATGTTTGGGTTGATTTAATGTAAAGATGTTCCTTCTTTCTGACCCGTAATTCTATCCCTGTAAGTCTAATTATCAACATTTAACCCAGATTTTCTGATTTTCCCTCCTTAACCTAGACCATGGTTTCTGAACAATGGTTCTGTTGGCATTTTGGATCTGATAATTCTTTGTTGGGGGGCAGGGAAGGAGAGTTGGGAGCCTAGCTGTGAACTAACTATAGGTGTTCCTAATAGCACCCTTGGCTTCTACCCACTAGATGGTAGTGGCAGCCGCCCCATCCCCCAGCTGTGACTACCAAAAGTAACCTGATGTTGCCAAATGTCTCCCAGGGCCAAAATCGTCCCAGGCTGAGAATGGCTGGCCTGGACCCAGACATTCATTTTCCTTCAAAACAGGAAGATCGGAGTCAGTAGTCAACTTTTATGGCTTGAAATTAAAAGACAGCATCACTGTGGAACTGGAAATAGCCAAGATTTGACTGGTTTCCTCTGCAGGCAGTTAAGCGTACCGAATAAATTCTAACCCATGATTTTACCCTTCTTTTATAGGACTTTGGTTGGCCTGCTTTCTTCCTTTTTTTTTTTTTTTTTTACAAAAGGTAAGAACAAAATGGGTTGAACCAGTTTTAGTGGGATGCTTCTGGTATACAAATATTCTAAAGCACAAGGAGGGTCCAACCATAAGGCTTTTTAATGTTCTGTTAAAGGAAAATGGGTATGTCCCAAGTGACCAGCAACCAAATCTCACGCGTATCTGGCATTACACTGAGAATTGAGTTTCTCCAAGTATTCAAATATTGGGGTGGGCATGGGGGAATATATATATATTTTCATTTCTGTATTTAGACTTGCAAATATTTTATTTCCATGAATGAATTTGTTCCAATCAATATAGTTATGAACACGTGTATCTGGGCATGCAACTGTGTGTATGTATCTTTGGATGCTTTATATTGAATTCACATTTATGTATATGTCAAAATACACAACTGCATATCTAAAAAAAGGAAAGAAAGAACTTTTAAGATCTGCCTTCACCCCTGACACCAATATAAATCTAGAAAGATCAAGGTTTAAGTGAAATTAAAAGTACAAGATGAAAACACTGCAGAATATTTTTATAATCTTGGAATAAGGAAAAGCTAAGTTAGTCATAAAACTTAATGATCTTAAGTAAAGACTGAACATTTGACTATACCAAAATTCAACTTAACTGTATACAAAAAAAAGGAAAAAAAAAAAACAAAGAGAATCAAAAAAAACAGACTAGAAACATTTAAAACTCATAGGAGAAAGAGCCAATTGCCTTAATATGTAAAGAGCAACTATAAATCAGTAAGATAAATATGCAAAGGCAATACAGATAGTTCACATATAATTAAAGATAAATTTGTGACATTTATTTAGAGAAAACCTTAGTAATTAAGAACACAGGCTCTGGAACCCAGACTGCGGTCCAGTGACTCCCCAGAGCATCTTGGGATCATCCTGAACATTTCTAAAACCCATCCACCCATGGAAGATGACTTTGGTGTACCTGTGGACAGCCCCACTCCTCAGAGTGACCTTTTCCGTGACCATTTGTAGCACATGATCCCACTGATTCAAGGTTTTTCTGGGGATGAGGAGGCGAGAGGCTGGATTTATGAGGTCTCCATTTGCAATCAAGCTGGGGAGAAAAAAAAAAAAAGTAAAACCGGCAAGCTGCACCATTTGAAACAGTTATACTTTTAAAGCTACAAAACAAATTGCAGACCTCAAGGAAAGCAACCTTCCAACCGCAGCGTGAAAGTCCTCAACTTACAAGATCGTGCAGGGCTCCTGAAGCGATTTTCTAAAGCGCGCGGACACGTTGATTCTGCTGTGCATTACGGGCTTCACCTTTAAAAAAGCAAAGAAATGCACATCACTGATCATCTGTTAGGTTTTCTTTTTTTTTTTCTAGGAGTTAAAACTACAGGTTTTCAGGGATGGGCTGAGACCTGTTATGCCTTTGTTAAAAACTTGCTCTTTTTTTTCCAACGACGTAAACACTCCGGGCTCACTTTCTAGCAACATCGCATGCCCTTAACTAAGCTCTCAAGAAAAATTTCCCTTAAGCCGTGGCTTACTGCTCATGATCTGTGCCCACAATTGGGCCTCTCCTGAGAATTTCAAGGCAACATTTTAAATACAACTTTCCCCTAACAAAGAAACAAAGTAATCTTACAAAATCTGGCACTCTGAAGGGCTCCCCCTCCATCCACAGCATAACTCCTCTCTGGGGCTGAATCTAGGCGCACCCTCCCCAAGGTACGTGACCCCATCTAGTCCCACCCCTGGTACTTGAATATTTAGCCCTCTCCCCCCTACCGCCCCCACAACATGACCCCATCCCATTTCCCCCACGGATTCCACTTCTCCTCTCTCCATCAGCCCACTTTCCCTAAACTTTGCTTCCAGGCTCTCCATTGCCAGTGGCAAGAAGCTCAGGCCCCCCAGGGTACCTTCTCCTGAGGCCAGGTTTTGGCTTTCAGCCACCCTCGCTTCCCTGCTCAACGACATAGGGTTTACCTTGAATCCCCACCCCTCAGGCTGAACTCTAAAATTCAGATGCTGACACACTCACTCTCAGCAGCTCATTTCCTTCCAAACTTAAGGAAATTGGGGCCAACAGGCATGAAGCTCCCGGAGCTCCCTTCCTTCCCCCTCATCTCCCTCTTCACCATTTTCTCCTTTCCACCTGCCTCGGGTGGAACCTCAGCCCTTTATAATAAAGCTAACGCCCACCGTGGTTTTGTCTCCAGCTACCTCTGCCAGATCCATGAATCATAGGCTTGTCTTAAAGCTTCTGCCAGTGCCCTTCACTGCTGATTTTCCCAGAGCACGTACCATCATCTGACACGTGACACATTTGATTTATCTTGTTTTCCATTGCTTATCCCATTGGCGTCCCTATGGTGCTACCCTCACTATTACCTCATGCTGTATTGAGTACATACTCCAGTAATTTTGTTCAAATGGCTTTCGACCTTGATTATATAAGGCCTTCCTTGTTGGATTCTTGAATTAAAGGTGAAGGTGAACATGTTATATAAACAAATAACTTCAAAGTTCTTGTTGAATTGGCTAAAATGTGCTATTTTTCTTTAAAGCATACATATCTATAAACGTAACATAAGGAAATTCATAAATACACGACTCAAAAATAATCATATAATTCTGAGTATATAGGTTGTTACTAGAATTAAATCAAACCACTTGTTTTGAATAATTGTTTTCCTCAGTATGGTAAAAATTTTCCCCAAATGTTCATGATTAACCAGGTGAAGTGAGATTAACCTTAAATATATATTGCTTTGAGTTATAACGAAGTTAACTAGGGTGTTTTCAGATATACTAATTTGAGAAAATAATCCAAATAATACATTGAATTGAAAAAAAAAAGTAAGACCATTGTATAAAACAAATGAAACTTTTTGGAAATAGTACTATTTTTCATTTACAGTGCATTTTTTAGTTGGCATTTCAAATAATAACCTCAATTATTTTTGCACACACAAAAATAAGCCAAATCAACTGCACATAAAGGAAATGTTTCCAGAACCCTTTTCAGGGATGAGGGCTTGGTCACGTGGTGCTAATGTAGAGAATTATGGCTTTAGATAATGGAAAACATAATAATCAATTAGAATGTCTCTAAAATTTGTAAATTTCCATATTAGTCCATACAATTTCCCTTGCCCTTTAAAAATAAATAGTATGTGAGATATGAGTATATTATCAAGTATCAGTCAACACACTAGTTAGTGAGGGATGGACACCCAGGGTGGGATGTGAGGTTCTCCCACTCAGACCCTGGGTACCAGGAATGGTTTGCACTGGTGACTGGCCAATGGCTGGCCAATGTTGGTCGTGGAATCTAGGATTATGGGACCAAATCAAATGAAAAGGTATCAATTCAAAACTCCAACTTTCATTTTGGACCCAGCACACTAATAATCCTCCTAACTGGTCTGGTCAGTTTGGAAGGGAGGACATGCTTACAGCTGCTCTCTTGACTGAGTTCTTCACTGTGTCCAACACTTTTCTCAGAAAACCCAGTTTATTTGGATATGGAGAAGTAGGAAAGCCTAATTAATCAAAGAGAAGAGTCATTCCCTGAGTGGAAATTTGAGAGGTCGGTAGGGAGAGAGAGATCTGATAAACACTTGCCTCCCATTGTTCCTGAAACCAGCTCTAAAGCCAATGGTGGCCAACGTGGCAGAATCATGTTCACTCTGTTAGAACGCGGTGAACCAGGACCCTAGTGCAGGTCTCCGGGTACAAATCACAGGTGCTTTCCAAAATATCCTTTCGTCTCTCCTATCTTTTTAAAATTGTCTTTCTGTCACCAATGGCCATAATAAACACTTTTCAAAGCCCATAATGCTTCGTGTGAACCCAGTAAGGCTATACGTTATTTAACTCAAGTTCACCGATTCCACACGGCGCTTAATAGGACAATAATCACAGCTGGGTCAAATTCAAGCAAAACCTACAAGACTCAAAAAATATGCACCTGTTTGTTATAAAAACAAGCTCAGTGTAAACAAAAGTGTTGCTCTGAAAATATATCTTTGGGAAAGAGTAACTCCAAAGTCTACAAAAGGAGTAAATGGCTACGGGGTCCACGATTCTGCCCTCTAGGACAGACCGCCACACTTTCAACTGCTTTGAGTTATTATAACGAAGTTAACTAGTTAACTAACACTTTCAACGAGAACCAATTCCATGCCTCACACCTCATTTTCTTAATCTGTAAAAGTAGGGATAATCCTGCTAAACTAGCCCAAAGGGAGGCTCCATGAACTAATTAACCAAGAGGCAATGCCACTCCCTTGGGCTGTTAGGCTGAATGCTTCAGAGGATGCACCTGACTTTCGAAACCTCTTGAAATCTCTCGAAATCTAGGCCAAGAAAATCAAACTCAGTCTCGGGACCTGAGAAAATGATGCTGTTAAATGAGCACCATCCCAAAAATCTCATGACTGCTGACCTCTTGGAAACACTCACTATACAATTTTTAAAGTCGGTATTTAAAAAATACATCAGGTTTTGTGACTGCCCATAATAAAGATAAACCTAGGCGTTTGGGGGGGTGGGGAAAATGTAATGAAGTTATTTATTTGCAAAATATACGCCAAACCATACAAAAAGATTTCAACTCTATTTTCCTTACTGTATGGATTTAAGAAAGAGTAGGTTCCCCAAATGGTAATCTTTGGGGAAACGCTGTTACTACTTTGCAAAGACAGCACAACAGCATCAAAGAGGAAAACAAAGTCCTTTACAAAGTATTTCATCAATTTCTACCACTTTTTGATAAACAAGAAGAAAAGGGCCAAACATTTATAGAAGACACGAGAGTTGAAAACAACTCACCTAGGAGTCAATATAGCAGACACACATCCAATCTAGGAATTGGTCCAAAGAAGTTTTTTAAGTAATTATCCTTTTTTGTCAGTATTACTATTTTTTAAAAGATTTATTTGTTTGTTTTAAAGACAAAGAGAGCGAGCAAGCGTGGGGAGGGATAGAGGGAGAGAGAGAATGCTGAAACAGATCCCAATGTGGGGCTCGATCCCAGTGGCCTGAGATCATGACCTGAGCTGAAATCAAGGGTCAGCCCCTTAACAGACTGAGCCACCCAGGTGCCTCTATTCATTTTTAAACGGAAGAAAGACTGGCCAAGATGCCTGATGGATGGTGATGGTACAATGTCCTGTGGTGATTGTTTATATGATAATTAACAATTGGAAAATGCCTCTATCAGAGGATAGTTCATGCTGAGAATTATATCCTAAGCTTCAAAGAATGAAACCATTTTTCATGGAGATACTCCAGGTGCATGGGCTGAAGGAGAAATGTAACAAGGGAAGCCTGTGTAACAGGAGAGGGGGACAATAACCAAACTTCTCAAAAGAGTAGCTGACTCTCCCTCTCCTTGGATTTCTATCAAAGGTACTACATTGCATCTCAGTTATTATAAGTTGACACATTCTAACCTCCAGAGGAACACAGACCTTCTGAGACACAAGAATTACACTGCTTTTCTACCACTATTTTTCCCTTTTTCATATCTGAGGAAATACATTCTACTAACTGGTATGTAATTTGACAAACAAAAGGCATCTGCTCTGCCTGTATCAGGTTGTTTTTCCAATTGAAAGAGTTGTTGTTGTTGTTGTTGTTGTTGTTGTTGTTGTTTCCACATTCAGGTAAACTAAAGGAGAGTTCCACTTCGGATTAGGAGGTAGAAGGTTGTAGGGGACTATTGTCCCCAACATGACCACAAAAACTGAAAGATAAGCTAAATAGCATGATTTTCTACATGTAAACATCCCCCGTCATGTATGTGTGTAACACATATAAGTACACACCCTTACAGGGTGAAATTTTTAAGTGTGGTTAGTCTTGGAGGGTAGACTAGGGCAGGAGAAGTAAAGGTGATGTTATAATGATACTTTCTCTTTTTATACCCCAATCCTTTCTATATAACTTCTTTTATCTTTTGACCCCTGACCCATTTCTCCTACCCACCTCTGGCAACCACCCATCTGAGCTTGCTTGGGTTTTTGTTTTTTTAATGGCTCATATAAGAGATATCATCTTATATTGCTCTTCCTCTGACTTATTTCACTTAGCATAATGCCCTTGAAGCCCTGGAGACCCATCCATGTTTTCACAAATGGGAAGAATTCCTTTTTTTCATGGCCAAATATATTCCATTTTAAATTTATATGTCACAATGTTTATCCATTCACACATCAATGGACCCTTAGGTGGATTTCATATCTTGGCTCTTGTAAATAATGCGGCAATAAATATGGGGGTGCATATTGCTTTTCAAGTTAATGTTT